CAGACCTCGAACTCGGAATACTCACGCAAAAAAAATCGGAGCAAGACCAAAACTAATCTGAGCTTCTAGCAATTCGCATCGCAGTTTTTGTTCACGCGAGAAGAGCAAGCAATGAAAAACCGAGTCTGAACTCCATCACACAGGTGAGTGGGTTGCTTCAATTCCCCGCCGGAATCGAGGGAGCGGGGCTTACGCGGATCCCCTTACGACGGGAGCAGAGGATGTCGCTGACGCTTCGATCGGAAATCAACTCTCGAAATAGGAACGTTAGCTTGCGTCGGATGATGTCATAAGGGATTGGCAACGCAATCGTATCCTCCAGACAGGCTTCTGAGCCTCATCGAATAACGTTCTGGCTCCGACCGGTACTCCTTTGCTCCATTCATCTTTTCATTCACACTTCGAATGGCATTTCCGAGCGACGTCTCACGCCGTTGCATGCTTGGCACAACCAGGAACCACATCCGACGCAGGTATCTCGGATACTGTATCAAGCCACGGCCGAAGGAGGCAAGGCCGTTAAAGGTAGGGCCTTCTTCTGTAGACGTCGACTTCGTCGAAGATGTGAGCAGCAGACAGAACCGTGGCTCTGCAACGAATTGAATACGCTTGTTGTTATTTTTAGACACAGCTCGTGGTTAAGGTCTAGGATAAAATAGTTGACCTAGAAACGCGCGCAGCCCCATAGTAACTGAATGGTGTTTCCCTGAAGGGAGGTCACAACACCTGCGCTGACATTCTACGTTTTTCTGTCCATCTGGCTGCCGGGGGAACATGACTTCGGAAAATCCGCTTCCTAGATTTCCCAACCTCTGCATAATGCGTACTTACTGATGGCTCTCTTTTCCTCGGATCCCGAGCTTCGTTCAGATAACGCCTTAGAGTTCTATCATTGTGAACGCAGACCGATCGAGATTGTTCGAAGAGATTCCGAGCTCCCTGCCAAGCGAATACCTAAGAGCGAAACGATCGAGCCTGGCTCCGGATCGGCCCTATCGTTCAAACTCCGGATCCTCTCGGAAACAAAGAGCTGGTAGAGAATGGGGTGATTTTCGAAGTCTATCTCAATTCTTGAGTTCGAAGGTGCGACCTCTTCCCTCACGGGCGCGATCGCATGCGGATCCGGGATGCTCCCGAGATAGCGACAATACCGAGCTCAGGGGCTCCGCGGGAATGGAGGCATACACCCTCCGGGACTTTCCATGCTGTGCAAATAAGTATCATACCTATCCCGACATTTGACGGTTATTTCATAATATTTTCCGACCGGGGGCCCTATTTGCGTATTCTTCCTCGAGGCCTCGACCTGAGTCAAGAGCTGCTGCTAAAAATACCCGAGAACTATTTCTGTGTTTTTTCTCCAACGTTCACATTCAGGGGTTCATTCTCGCAACTATTCGGCACCGCGGCTAAGCTCGCGCGGGCTCGACAAAAACACAACAGAAACCGAAGTTAGAACTTTCTGACAATAGGAAGCCTCTAGAAAAAATGTTGTGGAAATCAACGCGCTCATGGCCTCTCCTTGAGTGACTCCATTGTATCGGGTCGGATCTGATAGTGGTCGGAGGAATATTCGAGTTTTGTTGCTATGAGAGATGAGGCATGTACAGAAACTCCGAGGAGATGTACCGCGACTTTTTTGATTGGGGTTGCTCCCGCGGGGAGAAAATTTCGCGCTCTATCCGAGGAGCATTCCGAATAATAAACCGATTCTTTGGGAGGCGCGCTCCTCCCGCTGAAAGGCCGATGCACAACGCATACGTCGGCCTGATTCTTCTGTTTCAATAGATAGTCACCGGCTCGTTACTATGGAATATGTTGCGACGGGTTTGTCGTAACTTTCTCTGGTGTGTCTGAAAAGTAAGTGGGCCATCCATCCCCCGAGAAAGCGCCACTGACCCAGACTTTCACCAAGGGACGTTGACTTCGACTCTTGAGCCAGAAAAAACGCTCTGTTCTTCTGGACGGCTCTTTCGTCGGATCGCACACGCAATCGCTGCACACAGAATAAAGTGTGTGAGAGTGCCGCCGCCGCCGCTGATCTTCAAGAGCCGCCGAAAAACGAACGCACGGCCGACCGGCCGGTCGACCAAGCTGCCACACGGACCGACATACACACAAGAGCGCGTAAGACCGCCTCATAAGGAGACTGAAAGTGGCCCGGAGGGGTTTGAACCCGAACTGGGTCGCCGCGTGATGTCGTAGACCCCGGAACACAACGATGAGCGCAGCAGCCAGTCACCCGGGCAGCCACCGAGCATGTGAGGGTGGGAGGCGATTCTGGATCTGATTCCAGAAGAAGACGAAGGCGACTTCGATCTCACTTCGTGGCTCACTGACGGGACGACCGAACGATTACGCGGCGATGCCGGCACCATCGACGACTACATCACCATCGCGGTGTGGTGTTTCTGCTGTGACCGCGGCTGCTGGGGAAATGGAATGACTTTCCTTTTCGGTATCTTGTCACACGAAAAGAGCGGCCGCGATGTGAAACACTTTCGATGTCAAGCGGCTCGAGGCAGTAGCCTGGTTACGTTAGGCGAATAGGGTCAAGACCCACTTGAAGAGCCGGGCTTTAACCATTATGATGAGCTCGGCTTCGTGATTGTCCCCCACCGACTTTGTCTGACTGATACGTACTAGAACGCTCTCGCAGAGGTCTACCCTAACTTCCACACACACGCAACTTCTACCCTGACCCCCTAACAACTGAATCGCTGCACGTAACGAGTTTCGGGTCTCCGAGGCGTCGCGTCGGCGTGGTAAATTGTTGGATCCTGCTTTTGGAGTCGCAGCCAAAGATGCCGCGACTCTGCTCCCCGTCAACTTGGAATGAAGCCTTGATAGTTCAGGACCATTGTTTTTGGCTCCTACACGCAGCTCTCGCGATGTCTTGTCGCATTAGATTCTCTCATCGAGAACCCATCGCGTTCTCGACAGGAACGATCCGATCGTTGGCTCCGATCAGAGAAACCCTCCCGAGCTTCTCAGACAGATCTTATGCAGCAGGGGGGCATAGCACACGGGAGCGGTAACCCTAGACCTGAATGTTACAGCATACTGTTCGACGAATCTCAGTTGGGTAAGAGGACCGAAGGCTCCCGAGTCCAGCTTGCGAAAAAGCTGGTGGGCCTCGATGTTGCCGCTCAAGAGCGAAGAATATCCCTCCCTCAGGGATCTTCACTGGAGGTTGGTCTTCGTTCCACATGCGATGAGGTTTGGAATCGATGCTCGTTTGAGCGAATTGTGGTGAGCTCAGCATGCCGTGAAATTCCCTTTCGAAGCTCAGAGATCGAGCGCATTTTCTGGACGTAACGAACCGCTATGGGAACACTTTCTCCTCCGGTCAAAGCCAGTGCGCTCACGCACAAATTCCCTGCTCTTGTTCCCTACCGCCGGCGCGACGCTCGTCGCAGAAACGTCTGCTGCCAACGGCCCCGATTCAGGACGCAGTCTATTCATCCCCGTCACAGAAAAGAGAAACGGGCCGTGCAGAACAAACTACGGTAGAACAAGCCCCGATTGAACATCTACTGAATAGTGCAACGACTCAGGAACTCAGGACTGCTGCTCTGTTATCGTGTGCCCCGAAGCCACGTTCAGGCGGCAGTCGCCTCTAGAAGAACTCTGTTCAGTACTATATAGGCTCCGTGAGCGTGCGGAGGAGCGTATTCCTCTTATGAAACGGGGGAGCATCCGTCGCGAGGAATTCGCTGCCTCCTTGCTACGGTTCTCCTGAGGTTCGACGACGAGTCCTGCGGACCCCTGAACCTATCCATTGTCTCCCCAATCTCAGCCTCTATCGTCCGTCCGAAGATCATCGACAGTTTGCCTTTCGCCGCCCTCTCGATTGGCAAAGCCGACGCTCGATGGCCATTATCGCAGCCTGACGATCCTCGAACTTCGCTCGGGGATCCGCTAATGTCGAGCGGCAGAGGAAACGAGGGCTGGACGAGCTTCTGTGAATGAAGGAGAAAGCATACCGTGAACTTAATATTCTCTAGGGGTGAAATCTCAGTCAGCCGGTCCCGATCAAGACCCGATCCTGTATTCAACCCCGTGGGAATGTTCGTTCGTTGTCTAAATCCGATCGAGAGGACGTTCCGCGCTCTCATCTGCACTTTCGCCTGCGAGATTCACTCGCGTGACGCGATCCTGTGATGCTGCAAACAAGACGGTCCGCTACGTCATCGTTTGGCTCGTTTGGTTTACTTTGCGCAAAAGTAGCTCACCGGCGCGACGGAGGGGTCGGCGACCGGCCAGTCGTTGGATCAAGAACATTTCCTGGTTCGTGGAACGAACCCAGAATGGCGAAGACCAACGATTGAGAGATGATCTAGCCGCCAGAAAATGAGCGAAAGTGCCTGGCGACGTGAGCAACCGTCAGCGAGAGCTCGGGGTCTCGTACCAAGAGCTCGGGCGCCGGATAGGGCCAAAGCGAAAGCCATCGACCATAGAGAGCGGATTGAGCGTTTTCAATCCCTCCCTGCGCCTCACACCGGAATCCAATTCATCCCCGTGAGCCGGTGCAGCCGTTTGCTCAAGCTTCGTGAGAGCAATACTATCGTGAAATGACGCTCTTGTCATGAACATCGAGCTCGGAGAAACACGAGGGCTGACAATTCGACTGCCTCGATTCCCTCCATTTCTCTCTGATGCTGGTCCCCATAGCAGATGCGATACATGAATTCAACACTCGGTACTTTTGTCGGTTCCTGAGCAAAGGGAGCTTGGAGAGGATTCCAAGCACTTTTCCGATGCGGCGGCGACGCGGCGCAGTAAGCATTGGAACGGGACATCTCTCGGACGTTCAGAAAGATATCCCGTCATCGAGAACTCTCACCATCCTCTCACCATCAAGAACCATGCTCGAAGACCATGCCATGAGGCGGATTGAGAAGTTCTGAATGCAACAGTTTTATTCTGGAACGCAATCTACCAATCGAGCCTTGTGTACAATTAAAATTTCCGATCCCGCAAAGCTTTCGGGATCCCGGGAGATGGTTCCGCGTCACTTTTTAATGTCTTCAAAAAACGAGCGTCACTGTATTGTGTTTCTTATCGAATCGGAAATTATGAGATGAGAAAAGATCACTCTTGAAGAACGGAGCCAAGTTCGTGATGTTGATTCGAGCCGCCTCGCGCTTCAGATAGTCCACACTGACCGACACTTGTTCTGGTTCGATTTCCAGCCGGCTGCGTTGGAAACTCAATTCTTCTTGGATCAGCTGCTTGAGGATGAACAAGAGAAGCTCGTTATTATCCTTTTTGTAGGTCAAGTACGACGAGAAGGTCTTGGACATTTGTCTCATAACCGAGAACTTTTGAGTTGAGACGAAACTGTCCAGCATGACTCGAATCGCCATATTGACATCGTCATCGTTCACGTGTTCTCGCAGATGCATTCGAGCGTGCGATTCCGCGAGTCGAATGATGGATTCCAAGTGACGGATCGTGATCGGCATGGAACCGGTCACCATGGACTCTCGCCTGAGGTCCGAGTAGAGCTGGGATATTTTATCCTGGTCCATTTGATGGAGCTTGGGTTCGATCTTGTCCTTGGCGTAGAGAATGTATTTTTGAAGGAGCTCCTGCTCGATGGGCTCGTACGTCCGAGATACAGGTTTGATTTTCTTCTCATCAGCCGACGCTAGAGGATGGTGTCTAGCATGGGAATCGACCACGAATCTGGCGAGACGCTCGTCCTCGATTGGATCGACGGTGTCCCGGACGACACAGAGAACATCGAATCGAGACAGGATCGGATCGGAGAGGTTCACGTTCTGGTGGAATGTCATCGATGGGTCGTATCGGCCTCCTATCGGATTAGCTGCGGCGATGATTGTGCACCGAGCACGCAGAGATGTGACTATTCCGGCCTTCGCAATCGAAATCGTTTGCTGTTCCATAGCTTCATGGATGGAAGTCCGATCGGCATCGTTCATTTTGTCGAACTCGTCTATGAGACATACTCCTTTGTCTGCGAGCACGAGCGCACCTGGAACGTAAAACATGGTCACTCAGTTTCGAAACTGCTTCGGCGGGTGTGAGTGAATTTAGAGTCGGCGACCTCATGAGCTATCTCTATTCCTACCAGCTTCCAGTGTCCAGTCGCGCGTGACCAGACTCTTCTTGACGTAAGCTGTCAGACCGACGGCCGTAGCGCCCTGACCGGTGGCATATATGGCTCGGGGAGCTATCTGTTGAACGTACTTCAAGAACTGAGACTTGGCAGTACCGGGATCTCCGCACAGCAGAACGTTGATGTCGCCTCTGATCCTATGTTTGTCGCCGGGATTCTTCGACACACCTCCGAAGAGGGACAAAGCGATCGCTCTCTTGATGTCATCGTGGCCGTAGATTGAGGGACCGATAGAGGCCATAATTCTTTCGGCTAAGTTATCTTCTTTTGAAAGTTTCACCACTTCCTTGACGTCCTCGTCCGTGAGATACTTGCCAGCAGCCTTTTCGTCTTTCCTCAGAATATGATTAGCGATTATGACCGTGGCGAAAACGGGAAAACCGTTCGCTTTGTTCAGAGATCCTTCGAATTTGTTGCTGTATATTCCGGTGATTTCGATCTCGTCGCCGGGTTTGCAGGAATCGCACAGGTCATTGAGCAAGATAGCGTCTTTGGATCGAGGCAGTCTTCCGGCGGAAACTTTCCCCGGAGCTTCCTGGATAGTGATTCTCTGGTAGTCTTGGAAGATTGTTTGAGACACGTTCAGGATGAAGGGTCCCGTGCTCTGACACTCGGGGCACGAAGTGGGTCTCACCTCGTTGTCCTGTGACTGGACAAACGGACCGAGCACGTATTTACATTTGGCACAATCGTATTTGACCATGCGCAGCTGGGGGAGGACACCTGTGGTCGAAGTCACTACGCCCGACGTACGGATGAGCTGGTCGATATGGATCTTTCTGAGGGTTCGGATCTCTTCGAGGATCGGTAGCTCGGTGATTCTCACTCGAATCTCGTGGTGGATCCTCTCGTAATGAGGAAACATTCCGATGACGATATCTTTCGCTGCTTCGTCAAAGATCGGCAAAACCTCGGCAGGCGCTTCAGGCAGAAAGTAGGCGAGAATTTGTTCTGACTGAGCGAGATTGTTGTAGGTCACTTCTAAGCTCATTTTGTTCTGCTCGCACATGGCGCGAATTTTCTCTTTGTAAGTATTGTGGCCCTTGTCGTCGATGTGGGTGCGTAGGAAATTTTTGAAGCGATTGAAGATCTCAGTCTTAGGACCCAATTGGGTGACCCAATCTTTTATGGAATGTCCTTTCATGTCTTCGAGGTTCTCAATGGATTCGACCATGTCATCCATCCCATCGTCTTCTTCCCCGGCGGCAGCTCGTTCAGCGAGTCTCCTACGGCGAGTGGGGCGATCATCGAGTTCACTGCTTTCCTCTGATGGAGCAACGAAGATCTGTGTCAGTTACAATCCGAAATCATCCCGAAAGTTACGATCTCTGCGCTCGAGAAAGAGTCGGGGCTTACCGCCGAACATTTCGAGTCCTCGTCGCATTCCACCGGGCACCCGGCCTTCTTCTCGATCTCTCCTGCGCATTTCTTCCTCAGCCGCCCGTCGGTCCCCCTCGGACATCGCGCTGAACTCGGAGTTCTCATCGATACCCCTCTGATCGTAGCGGTCCAATTCAGGGATATGGCGATAATCACTGCAGGTTCAAACAGGTACGACATTATCGGTCTGATTCATAGAGACTTCGGCTGAAGGCCCAATTTGCCGAAAGTTATCGGCTGAATTGTATAAAATATGGGAATCATTCCAAAACCGCCAGACGAAGGTGCGAGGGTCTTTTTTCGTCCTCACAGACTACTTACTCAGCCATGTTATCACCAAAGAGATCTTCTCCTTCATCCTCCTCTTCGTCCACAACATTGTCGTTTCCATCGCCCCCAATTAACTCGTTCTCGTCCTCGAATGGGGGTAGATCTCGGCCGGGCGATGATGTTAGAGGGTCGAGCTCACTGCGGTTCCTATCTTCAGGGACATCTGATTCCGAGGGAGGATTCGATTGTCGTGAACGTCTGCCGTCACCGCGAGGCATCTTCAATCAGGGTGTAGGGAAATACTTCACTGGAATAGCGCAAAATGATCGTAACACATCACGCGATCACAGCGGAGAATTTGGTAGGGGTCGAATTTAAAGGTCTGCTGAGTTAAATGGCTCTCGAGAGGATAAGCGTGAGCATGCCGGGATCGACGTGGGTCCTAAACCATTCCCCGCGCGTCCCTCCACTCCAAATCTGGCTCATGCTCACTCCGAGTGTTCACTCCAGGAAGTATATGGAGTTGGAGAGAACTTACCGTGAAGCACTGGAAGTTTCCTACTCGGTTTGACCAAGTGTTTTGGCGCCAAGTGGATGAAGTTTCTCGCGCCTCGCGCCAAAATATGTGGTGCGTCGGGGTGAATACGATATCTTCGATGAAGCTCAGCAACCGATCATCGGGGACAGCCAGGATCTCGCATTCGATCCAGACCAGTATTGGAGCCCAACGCCTGTTTTTTTCAGTGCGAAATCCCCGATGAAAACTCAGTTCTATCGAGATGAGCCCCGCGCGTGGTACTTTCGTGGTACGCTTTCGATATTATTCCCGAGCCTCCGTTTACGAATGCGATCCGACACTCTTTTCGGCGAGGCCTAAGGCTGGTGTGTCTCTGTGCTACAGAAGACAACAGATTTCGGTAATTTCGCATCGAATTCCGTAGCTTTGCTCCTATGAGTTTCGATAGTTTGTCGAGAAGATCTCATTTGACCCAAGGGTTGGAAGATTCGTTGGTGAAATCTCGGGTTTATCGTGACCGGTTGGCGAAGTTGCTCTTGTCGTCACACGTGGAGCCAGTATCGAGAGTATTTGCTCACAGAATTCGCTGATGTGATCAGAGACGTAGTATGCGTCGCATGTCTCTGCTGAGGGCTGTTTCGCAAATATATTTTGACCAGGGATGATTGTGCTGCGTTGTCTTAACTGCACGGCGCGGCGGCTGCTCCGGCAGACACACGTTGTTGAGCTGAAATCTGAAGTCGTGCCGACTCACTGCCTCGAGCGTTGCTGACTCGTTTGTCGCATCGGGCGTATTGGGACCGAGCGAATAAGGCCTGGAGCTTCCTGAGGGTCTCCAATCAGCACCCCGAGATACTAAAAGACAGCGTGTTGATCAGAGAACTCGCTGCCAAAGGATGTCTCGTAAATCGAAGAGATTCCTCGCTATGGTTCACGGCCCGGTGGCTTGTCGGATCACGCACGGTCTCTCACAAAACCCTTTATTGACTTATTGAGAGTTTCGGGATGAAAACAACCTCGAGGTTCCGAACACGATTGCGAGGTCTAAGGACATTCCGAACAGAAACAGCTCTTTTAGCTATGGTTCGGGACTGCCTACTATCTGCGATTCGGACCACGCAAAGATACTGACATTCTCCCCTGTGCAGAAAGCATCCATCTTTGCGAAACAAGCCTGACAGTGCTATGATCTTATGCGAAATGACCGAGACGAAGCTCGCTTGCCAGATCTTTCGTTTCCTGAATGATCCTGTCCTTTAAAGCTTCGGAAACAAACATGCTTTTCCTTAATTATGCGGATACTCCACGTATTCGCGCCCTGTGGAAGAGTAAACAGTCTTACGAGTCGCAAATAATCTTTGTCGTTCCGGACACGGTCCGTTCGATCCATGGGAATTCCGTTTTCAAGTAAGAATTATTTTTTTCCAGCCACGATGGTTGCTCAAAAGAAGACGAAGAAGACCTTGGAGTCTATCAACTCTCGTTTGGCTCTCGTCATGAAGTCCGGCAAATACGTCCTGGGACACAAACAGACCTTGAAGACACTCCGTCAGGGCAAAGCAAAATTAGTGATTATTGCCAACAACACACCTCCTCTCAGGAAGTCTGAGATCGAGTACTACGCTATGCTTGCTAAGACTGGTGTCCACCATTATAACGGCAACAATATCGAGCTCGGTACCGCATGCGGAAAGTACTTCCGCGTATGTACGCTCAGCATCACCGATCCCGGAGACTCTGATATCGTTAAGGCAGTGCCTCAGGACCAATAAAATGTGTGCTCTTGATGCGACCAAGTCTTTGTCATTTTTCATCCCGCGTCATCTGTCATTGTTTCGTAGAATGATCAGGAGGGCTACCCGTATTGGGGCATTCTCGGAAGCACCAGAACGAGATAACCTTCTTCTCATGTACAACATGCCCTGACAGCTGAAGGAATTCGGCACGGAGGAGACATTCCGCGCGAGAAGTCTCGCCAGGTGAGATGTCTCATCTAGAGCTCGAGACATGTGAAAGTGTTCTCCTGCCTATCCCAAGAGGGGGAGCATGAGCGGCTTCATGGCGACCGCCCCCGATGCCCCGCATCGCCTTGCGCGAGTCTTCGTGGCTGGCCTATACGTCCGAGGAATTCGAAATACGGCGGGCTCGGGTCTTGTTCTGGCACGCTTCAGTTCTGTCATGTCGAATCTGTGCAGTTCCCCGCTTACTGGACTCTTCCGATTGTATCAGAACCCGCCCTCGAGTCGTGCCGAAGCAATGCCGTGGGGTGTCTGTCTCTTCGGGCTATGATGGAGTCCTTTCTCTCCTCTTCGGCGCGGTCTGCTCGGAACTTTTTGAAATGACCCGCCATGAATCGTAGCGACAGAAGTAAACATTCGTATGATTTTTACCTTGCCTTGAGGAGCCGCCGGTTGGTATGTATGTGCAATGAGCAGTATGAGTCGCGATCACAAAGAGAAAAGTTTATTAGTGTTCGTGTCGTCTATGGAATACTCCGGTGATGTTCAAAATCCTCGTCATGATGAGTTCGGCAGCCACGACGCAACAGAAACCTGCGGAGAGGCGATGAGCGTTCAGGAGTACAGACTAAGAATCGCGCCGCAAATAAAGGTTCGAATCATCAACTCCGCAATTTTGTTGCCTAATCGTATTCGAACTAGCTTCTTCGATTGAATTCTGGAAATATATTGGGAATTGGAGCTGGGAGAAGTCCGGGACGTAGGGTGAATAATGTCCTATCCAGCGGGAGGGACCCCCCGATCCCCAATCAATTCGATTTTTCTCCCCCTCTCGCTCATCAAGATTACATGTTCGATCGGCTTTTGGGTCCCCTCTTCGAGACTTCGACGCCCTCGTCAAGTGCTCAAGTCAGGAGGACGGGCTAGACGCTCACCGAACGAGGTCCACCCGCACGAAGATGGGCTTGGCTCCTCGCGCTAATTCACCATCTGCGATTGTTCCAGAAAATATTCGGGTCGATCAGGAGACGCTGCCTGGGTAAGCTCCTGCTTAAGGATACTTCACAACACATCAGACGGTATAGGAGAGTGCTCATCAATGACATCGACACGACGGTACCGCTATCAATCAGCGGAGCCAGATCTGCAGCTTTGAAGAAATGGAAGGAAAGTTTCTTCCAACGTCTAGCTGCTTTGCAAGAGGAGCGGGCCTCGACAGAGAAGCGTCGAAGCCGGGCTGTACAGAAATACCGTCAATCTCTCAAGGAGGCAGAAGCTGTCACCGATGCTGCCGGGAGATCCGATCCCCAGATTCCGCCGATCAGCGAGGAAATGATCCTGGTTATCAAGGAAGCGTTCAGGTCCCCCGCGAGCCAAGTTCTCGTAGATGTCTCGAGACAAGCCGTTACGCGCGCGGATCTCGAGACTCTGCTAGGTCTGAATTGGCTGAATGATGCCATCATTAATGTGTATTTGAACCTCATAGTTAATCGGAGCAAAGAAGCCCAGAAGCTCCCCAAGGTCTACGCATTCAACACTTTTTTCCTGACGCGCTATATCGAGATGGGCTACAGTGCCGTTCGTCGATGGACCAGGCGCGACGATATTTTTGCACACGACATCCTCCTCGTGCCCGTCCACTTGGGCATGCACTGGTGCATGGCCATCGTTGATCTGCGAGTCAAGCAAATCAAATACATGGATTCGATGGGAGGTCGGAACGACGCGTGTCTGGCAACTCTCTTGGAATATTTGAGCCAAGAGATGAGCGACAAGAAGAATTCTCAACTCGACGCCGGGCAATGGCTCCTCACCAACATACAGAACCTGCCACAGCAACAGAACGGCTCCGACTGCGGCATGTTCGCTCTCAAGTATGCTGATTTTGCAGCCAAAGACGCGGAAATCAATTTCACGCAGAACGACATGCCGTATTTTCGACGAAGAATGATGTTCGAAATCCTACGGTCGAGCATTCTCCCAAGCGGATATGGGGAGAAGTGAACTCATTCCTGTCAACGTCCTCGCGAAGCGCACATCGGTCCGTACCGTTTCTCCAGATCGGAGACTTTCGGTATTTCATGAAGGGCTGACACACATGTATGTATCTGTGGAATATCAACTGCTAGGCTCTCAACACAGCAGCTCGAGCTGTCGACGACATCGCCGAATTTGCATAACGGCACATTAAGATTCTCGCGTGTTACCATCTCATGATGTCGTTTGCTTGAGGATCCCAACATGTATCAGCGACTCCCCAAAGATCTTTTATAACTGAGTATATCCAAGCGCTTGTAATTCAGAGCCCATCGAGCTCGCTCATTGTCGAATTGTTCATATACATCTGTCAGGCTCGGATACAGTCAGTTTCAGAAAATATATAGTCGTATTGAGAGCGCCCAACCTTCAACTCGTCATCGTATGTACTTGATACTAGGCCTAGAGCGACGTTCTTCGTCATGGTCCCGGAATTAATAGCGCGAGGTCTAGAGACGCACGGCTGTGAGACCGGGCCGAAGAAGGCTTCAGGAAGATTCCGCTGCTGCCCTGCTACCTCCACGTCCGCTCCGCAGTCACTTCGTTCTACAGCTCGCAGCGTGGGGCCATACTCCACGGACTGGGGTTTCATCGGAGTTTCATCTGTAGCAGGCGGCGGAACTCTTTCCTCCAGGTCGGTCATCGGTAGAATCGTTAGATCAGAGCGTCCCATCTTTCTCCCTCCTGTCCCCGAGAAGAAGGCAAATGGGTTCTGCTAAGGACTCACCGTCGTCACCAGTCCGAATGCTCTTTATAGGAAAAGACGCTCCACGGGAACTCTGCTGCCCCATAGATGGACGACCTTGAAGTAAGGGCACGACTTCGACAGCCTCTACTTTGATTCCTCAGAGCCATCCCCTTCTTCCTCTGATCACCGATACGGATATGACTCAACCGCATTTTACCCTCATCGTCAGAGTTCAAAACTTCATGCTCGGAAAAGTAGTGCGGGATGGGAAGTTCCGAGACATGTGAAAAAAGATTCGACTCTTTTCGCACCCACGGAGAACTTTGACCGACAGTGGGCGGCTGGAGAGCGTCGGAGTCGGGGGCCCTGTCCCCATAGCAAGTCATCTATGAGGACTCGTGCGTAAGGTGCGGCAATGCATCGACTGACTCTCCGATCATCGGCGTCGGTATAATTGGCTCCTCCTGGAGCCTCCTCTTGCCCTTCAAGGCTCTCCCCGTCACTACCCCCACTCCAAGGCAGTCACCGATCGAAATCAAGGCCATGTGCTCTGAAGTGTCAATATCCTTCGAGCTTGATCCTAAGATAAAAAGGCGAAAATCGATCAGGATCTTTAGTCTCCCTAGTAAAGCTCCCGAGGACTCATGGTCCCCTCTTCAAGGTCCGTCCGAGTAGTCCGAATCCGCCTCGCGTCCTCGAGCGAGAGGCGCTCCGGCGCACCGCGAAGGCCTCCTGGTGCTCCCGCATCGCGTCTGAAGTCGATCACGGCGTCGGGGTTCATCTCGCACATCGTCCAACACCGCTGAAGCAAGGAGTGGGAATTTTACCTACTCTGATCTTCCGGAACGAATATGAATCCTGCCTGACCTCCGGAAAGACGTAAGGGTAATGCCCGCCGTTAAAGTTCCGCGAAATTTGATGCGTTCATAGAAGCATCGTCGTGCTATCATTCCCTATTCGATTCCTGAGACCGCTCCCTCTGGAGGTATTTCTCTTGGAACGCGGTCAGCTTTCATTAAGCTCCTGGAAAACCATAGAACATCTTCGTGCACGTCGAATTCCCCCATCCGCTCCATCGATACGGTCCCCGTCGAATGCGACGGGGCTTCAGCTTTCAGGACACGGTCCTCCTCAAATCCTTCCATGAGTTTGAGGACGTGATTCGTCGTAATGTAGCAGTTCAGAACTTAGCTGGATAAGATTGCTTCCGTCTCCCTCCGGAATATCCAGGTCGAAGCCTTGCGGGCAAGGCAGATACTGCTCATGGTACCCGAAGAATGAAAGCTCGCAAGATGATTCTCGATTCCACGGGCCATTCCTCGAGAACCTTCGGGATGAGGAATCCGGGGACAATCGGAGTTCTGACTTCTGACCAGAGAATCACAACCAGTCTAGACTCCGAGAATTTTCGGAATAAGAAATCCGAGATCTCACCGTCCTTGTCGCTTGTTGGAATAAAGGTTTATTCTCTCGATCTTCAGTCGAGGACCGCGATATTGTCTCTCATGTGAAGATGTGAATAGATGAGAAATCTCTCCGAGAGCATCCAGGATCGCGCGTGCCGGTCTGGAGGCGCTGCGGTCGTCGGTCCGCTGATCTAGCAGCAAACGAGCGCGCCGCCATTTTCTGCTGCCGGTCATATGGCACTGTGCGCCGCGATGCGCGCGGTTGCGACTCCTCTATTCTACGCTTCGGATAAGTATTCGCGGAGTTTCCAGAGAGCTCGCCCTGCTGGGATTATCTCGCGGAGACATTCCGCGACACTTGACGCGGGGTTCAGAGCCCACTTCTGGTCTTGACTCCGAACATGAATCGAGCGGTCGGAAAATTAAGCCAGCACGGTGTCCACAAAAGTTTGAAGAAAATATTCGCTGTCCGGAAGGAGTGGGGCGAGGAGCCTGACGAATTCATCGGGAGCATAAAGAGAAAAATCTGTTTCGGTGAGTCGCGCGAGATCGAAATCGAGGCTCCATGTCTCTATCTCTAATGTTATGATGAGTGTTGACATGAGGGACTTTTCTGCAGATTTAGAGCTACCATCTCTGAGCTCGATGGGCACTTTCGATCTTCGTTCATCGATCATTCCGGACAAAAGCGGATCTGGAGTCGTTGCTTTCCAAATCGCAAAATCGATCACGGACCTGCTATGGATCCGTGTAGGTGAGAGGTGAGCTTGTGACTCGATTTTCGAGAGTCTCGCTACCGACAGAATTCCCATCGATCAGAGGGGAATATTCCTTCGCAGGTGCCAAGAGTTGCAAATAAAAATTGGCGAAACCCGTCTTCATGGCTTTCCCGACGGAGACATACTCGAGGAGCATGAGTTCCGACACGTCACCGAAGATATGGTGAAGCTTGTTCCTCTAGCCATTCCTTGCAGATGAAATTCATCAGTTGCGTCCACCCTCACTCATACCGCCCATTCTGTGATCCTCCAGGTCAAAGAGTCCTTGCGGAAATACGTGGGCCTCATAAAACTTCGAGGAGACCCTACCGTGGTTCCGGGGGGCGAAGTGACCGAGCTGCCGGCGCTCTGTCATGAAATCCAAGTGCGAAAGTTCGATCCACCATTCATTGGCTTGTGGGTACGATGTGGAGCAGGCTTCCGAACGAGAGTCTTTGTGACTGATTTCACAAGAGGTGATTCCTCGGAACGATTAACCCTATGAAGGATCGGTATGGGGCCCAAAATAGGCTTCCGAGCAAGAGGTGATTTTACCGATCGACTGATCCGATGGAGAACTATCAACGCCTCCAGTGATGAAAAGCCTTCCCATTCCAGACATAGGCGCACCGGGCCACCTAACGCGCTGGCATGTCCCAAACGCAGGGCCATTCACCTACGAGGACGCGCTACCCTCTTATGCCGTATCCTGGGACAACTGCCAGAAGCTCAGCGACAGATATGCCGACAGATTACGAGAATTCAATAAGTTGACTAGGAGAAATTTTTGTGATGAACAGCTTCAGACTCTCCTCTCACCGAAGATGAAGTGGAAAATGTTTCGCGGCGGGCCGGGGAGGAAAGTTGAAACTACACGATGAGTAGGAGAATCGGTATATGTCATTCACAAAGATCGCTCTACTTATGGTCGAGGCATTCCCGAGCCTCTACATTGAGAAAAAATTAAATACAATAAATTGCCTCTTGACAGCCTCCCCACCAGACTCTCCTAACGAGTCGGATTATAGCGTTGTATGAGGTATGAGGTCGAGATCCATCAACCTCCTCTTCAGGAGCTTCTTGGAGCGGAGCAAGCCACTGTTCATCTCGGCACGAGGGAAGGTGGTCCTGAAGGCGTCACCCAAGCCGAGATCGAAGTCTGGAGAGATTTTGTTCGCATAAAAGTGTGGCCATGCAGGACGTCGGAGTTGGATCATGCGCGTGAATGTAGCCCGGCTCCCAACCGGCAGGGACGCATAGGAGACGGTGAAGACGGGGCCCGGTCGGCGTGAGCGACGGCCACTTGCCTGAAGAGCTCCGGTAATGAAGTGAACAGCCTGTCGTCGAACATTTTTTTCGGGGATCTCGATAACTCCACAGGTGGCTCCCACGTCGATGTGAGCAAGCCTTTGCATGTCCTTCTGAATTGACAGCGCCGGAATCGTATGCTCCGATCGGCACTAGTCCTTCAGCAGAAGGACTAACCATGGTCGGATACTTGGACATCCTGCTTCCAGGTGATAGGAAAGGGCGCTGGGAGGTTCCTAGCTCCGAACTTCGGTTCATGTGTTCATGGCTTCTCTGATGCCATCAATCGTCCCATGTACGCTTCGTAGAGGAAGTTGGGGACGTGCTGGGGATCCCCGCTCCCAAGGTCAAGATTGGGTGGAAATCGAGTGCGCCGGATCAATACTCTAGGGCAGTTTGTCTCAATCTCGGTTCCACGCCCCTGAGTTGGGCTCGCGTCGTGCGACGGTGGAAAGGGTGGAATATTGGGCGTCTGAGCGACACATAATCCATAGCAGGGGTGGGCAACTCACGGCTCGCGAGCCGCAAGCGGCCCCTTCCGGAAATCGCGTTTTTCGAATAATTAATTAGCTACTGAATGATCCATCGACACGCTGGATGCGGCCCGCGGTTGCGGCCTGCGGGCCGCGCGAAGTTGCCCACCCCTGATCTATAGGAAAGGAAAACATGAAACCCGAAGGGAGCTTCGTTCAGTCATTCTCGGCAGTAATTATTTGTCATGGCCGACAGCTTTGAAGAGAATCGACGGCTGATATGTTCGGTATCTTGAGATCACTCTATTCGAATCACGATCCTTTTCGCTCATAATCCTGAGGTTCTTCGCCTACGGATCGATGGGCATCAGCTCTGACATGAGTCAGGAGTTCCAGGAGCCTCCATCTGGCTCACTCTGGCTTCTTCTTTCTCGCTGAAGATGTCATCTGCAGGCCTGCTCTGTATCGAGAATGTGAGCTCGGACTCGGCCCTAGACTGTCGCATGACTAGGCTTCGGGTGCCGAGTACCTATTCGATGCTCAACTTCTCCTTGGACCCCGCAGCCGAGGAAAACCCCTCCTCCGAGGGGTGCAGTCAGCACGAGAAAAAAATCCGCGGTAACTGTACGAAGGAGCGTCGGGTTTCAGAACATCCCGGGCGGCATGGAGGAATCCACGGTAGGCCGGGAGTAGCCGCGGCTCGGATCGTGGAACAGTCGCACGAGAGCGAAGCCTCGAAACCTTCAGAAAATTGACGATGGCAATGCTGTATTCTGGACGTAGTTCTCTTGGACGCTCAAGAGACTGCGGGTCGGCGGAGCATATGCAAGAATGAAAGCGGAATACGTATAGAGAGGGGGTATGGGACAGTATCTCTCGTGGTTGCTCTCAATATGTTGAATGGAAGATCGTACGGGGTGCGACTATAGCTGTGGCGCGGCGCTCACTGAGCACGGGACTAAACAGAAGTATCTGCTCTTTTCACATGCTTGGCAGTGATAAGAGCCCATGGTTTTAAGCATTTGTCACTTTTTCATTATTCATTATTAATTGCCGAATATGTTTTCTACTATTTTCCCTAAAAGTCTTCTCATTCTTTTTCAACGAGGTAAAAGATTAAAGAAAATCTGAGCAAGGATATTGATCCATAATTATTATTTGGTGAGAACATCATGAATGCTCGCTTGAAACCACGGGCTTTAGTAATGATCTATAAACATTAGACCATGCAGAGACAGGTAGCCACTATCGTGGATGTCTCCAACAGCCACCATCGTGCAAGCAGGCCCGACGAGAGGGGGGAGAACCGGGATTTTTTTCCCCGGGCCCCTAGCTCAGGCTTTAGTCTAATAATTTTGTCTGCGTCCTAAATTTCCCCCCTTTCCAAAAGGTGCATGGAAAGAAAACTGCTGCTCTGACCCATTCGTTGCATCACTTTTCTATTGATAGATCACAGACGAGGGGCCCATGTCATGATCGAGAGGGGCCCATGTCAAAATTCCCCCCGGGCCTCGAATTTCGCTCTGCGGCCCTGCGTGCAAGAGCTCAGGGAGGGGGAGCTCGCACGCTGCCTCCCCTGACTTCGGCTATTTGACTTATCTTCACTCTGAGATTGCTGTGACTGCCCCAAAGCATCTCCCCACTGCTCGTTTGCTCAACAAAACGCGGGCGAATACCATGTGTCAATACATGTTTGGGATTCGGACCTGTGTCTGGGCTGTCGTCCGCTAGTTATGTGTTGTGTGTAGTTGTGTGTCTCTGGTGGTCGTCGTCGTCGGCGCTGCCACGACAGCGGGTGAGAACGGAGAGGCCAGTGAGTGCGGACGAATAGGTGCAGTATATTGTGCATCTGCGACACTTGAATCATCCTTGTGCCCTGTTGGGCGACGCAGATCATACATCATGCTCACGAAGTTCGAGTCCAAGTCGGCTCGTGTCAAGGGTTTGAGCTTTCATCCGAGACGGCCCTGGATCCTCACCTCGTTACACAGCGGCGTCATCCAGCTGTGGGACTATCGTATGTGCACACTATTGGAGAAATTTGAGGAACATGAGGGTCCCGTCAGAGGAATCTGTTTCCATAATCAACAGCCTCTCTTCGTTTCGGGAGGCGATGATTATCAAATAAAGGCAAGTTTCTATACGGGAGAGCCGGTGGTGGCTAACGCCGCTTACTGGGGTACTGTCAGATGCATCGAGAAGGCACATACAATTCTCAGCGATCGTGTTCTCCTTCAAAAAACGGAACTCATGCAAAATATGCCTTGAACTCAGTGTTGAGACTATGTTTGTTTCGCGTGGTCGTCCATAGAATTTCTGTATCGAAGTCGACCTGTCCACCCGAGATCAGATGGGTTATGACGTGTCTTGAAGCCGGTGGAGCGGGCTTCATTTGCCGTGCTCTCCGGCGGATCTAGAATGCCAAAATTCTTAGTGAATCGTGCTATCTATTAGGGCTCATCGACGTTCGAATCCGATAACCGATCGTCAGGGTCATGGTCGAGACTTCATATGAGCCGCTTCGAGCGCCGGGAGCTCTCTCCAGGCAGTCCTCGGGGACGGCTCTAGGGTGGCAACGATCACCAGAAATTTCGGACTCGAGCGAGATCCGGATGAGGCCACGCTCCGCTTTCGTTTCAGTGGTTTCCTAATTTTCTAAGCCTGAAATCAAGTCTTATCTCGATTGGTCTCTCTCATCTTCCGCAGGTCTGGAACTATAAGCAGTCAAAGTGCATTTTCACGCTCCTGGGTCATTTGGACTACATTCGGACGACCGCATTCCACCATGAGTACCCCTGGATCCTGTCCGCTTCTGACGACCAGACTATTCGAATTTGGAATTGGCAGAGCCGAACTTGCATCTGTGTCCTCACAGGCGAGTCCAAGTGTTCGGAATCGGATAACAATCACAATGGAACATGGAGAGAGGAGTCGACCCGATGAAAACTCTGTCCCAAGGGAGAGAGAAGACTAAGAACTGAAGAGTATGTTATTTCGATCCACAGGTCACACTCACTACGTCATGAGTGCTAACTTCCATCCTTCGGAGGATCTGATGGTATCCGCTTCCCTGGACCAGACGATACGAGTCTGGGATCTCACCGGACTGCGGAAGAAAAACGTTGCTCCTGGACCAGGCGGGCTAAATGAACATCTGAAGAATCCCGGTCACACAGACTTGTTCGGTACGTCCGAATTAATAAGTAAGAACGTTTTTCCCTCATTCCTCTCTAACGCGATGTGGGATCTGCCTGCATTAACCAACCAGTGGTGAGGAAGGTTTGGACGCTAATCCGGACCGTGAGGTGATGCGATGGGGGAGATATCAGGGCAGAAACGAAAATGGTTGAAATCGGCGACTGGAGAAAATTCATGCAGGTTCCGTTCGGAGCTTTGGATCGAAACTTTGCTCCAATAACTCGTTCTAATAATTGTTGCAGCGGGGACAAAGCAATTGATTCTCAGTGAGTTTAGTTTCTAGACAAGTGGGGCGGTATGGCTTTTAACAGGTCGGGCTGCATGCGAGAGCATTGCAATTGGTCTCTGGGGCCAGGGTGTCGATTTGTTCGATGGTCTTCTTAAACTTGATGCGTGTTATCGCTGGAACTCTCGCCCGGCCTCCGCTCCCCAGAGTCTAGGATGCCGGCGAGCGGGATTTCCTGATGGTTTCGCGGAATTATCGCCCGCCGACTCGGTCACCTAATATCGGAGTTTCTCATCGACAGGCACATCGGATGCAGTGGTTCGTCACTTCCTCGATGGCCACGAACGGGGCGTCAACTGGGCTGCTTTCCACCCAACGATTCCCCTCGTAGTGTCGGGCGCAGATGATCGTCAGGTCAAGCTGTGGCGATTGAATGATACCAAAGCTTGGGAAATGGACACTTGCCGAGGCCATTACGCGAACGTTTCGTGCGTTCTCTTCCATCCCCGGCAAGAGCTTATTCTCAGCAATTCCGAAGACCGGAGTATTCGTGTGTGGGACATGGCGAAGCGAACGTGCTTGCATACCTTCAGGAGGTAAATTTCCCAGAACTCGTCAAAAACGCGGGATGTCTCGGTCGAATAGGACTCCGACGATAGATAGAAATGAATATACATGTCTCCCACATGAAGCATACCGGTATTGTGTATACCTATATACAATATCCAATGTACATACACATTATACTCACACCCATATTCACAATATACATTATACGAGTACACATTTTAGTACATGTAGTCGAGAGCGCGTCATAAACGCTCTCGTTTTCCAGAGAACACGATCGCTTCTGGATAATGGCAGCGCACCCCACTTCGAATCTTTTCGCGGCTGGCCACGATAATGGCATGGTGATTTTCAAACTGGAGCGTGAAAGGCCGGCTCACACCTTACACAAAAATATCCTCTATTACGTTAAGGAGAAACACTTGCGTAAGTTGGATCTAGCGACTGCGAAAGACACCGCAATTCTGCAAATTCGCAAGGGCGGGACCAGAGCGCCGGTTTACAGGTGAGAACGATAAGCTGCTTCGCATAAAACATTCCGTAGACTAGGTTCTGCGTTATGCCGACGAAAATGCGGACTTTGCTTTTTGCGGAGGGCTCGAATCCATGCCAATTCCATCGCGATAGATAACTTGACCGCATCGATTCGAACAAAACACTCTGTATTTCAGCATCTCGTACAATCCAGCTGAGAACGCTGTTCTCATCAACGTCAGGCAAACAATGATTGAACAGACCTCTTACGACCTTGCTATGATACCCAAGGAAGAAGGCCGCGAATCGGGCGAAATCAAACGCTCCGCCGGCATCACGGCAATCTGGGTCGCGCGAAACAAATTCGCAGTCCTCGAAAGGACAAAAAGCGTCGTCATCAAGAACATGAAGAACGAGACGACGAAAAAGCTTGAATACCCCGCTCCAATTGATGAGATCTTCCCTGCGGGTGTTGATCAACTCCTTGTCAAGGACCAAGACGGTATCAACTTAGTCGACGTGCAGAACCGTGTAATCGCGCACGCGGAAGTGACCAATGTCAAGCGAGTCATATGGAATCAGGACATGAGCCGCGTCGCGCTGCTACGGAGGAAGAATATCACGCTGTGCAATAAACGCTTGGAGATCCTGTGTCAGCTGAACGAGTCCATGAGGCTGAAGAGCGGAGCTTGGGACGAAAGTTGTGGCGTGTTCGTCTATACGACATCGAATCACATCAAGTATTCGTTACCGAACGGTGATCACGGCATCATCCGCACGCTTGACGTGCCCATATACGTGACCAAGATTCAGGGCAATAGTATATTCTGCCTGGATAGGGAGGCAAGACCCCGTATCCTGCAAGTGGATCTCACTGAATACAAATTCAAGGTTGCCCTCGTCAATCGGAAATATGACGAAGTACTGCACATGGTACGGAACGCTAAACTAGTCGGTCAATCGATAATCGCATACCTGCAGAAGAAAGGTTACCCCGAGGTTGCGTTGCACTTCGTCAAAGACGAACGGACCCGTTTCGCGCTCTCGCTCGAGTGCGGAAACCTCGACGCAGCCCTTGAGGCCGCGAAGAACATGGACGATAAAACCTGTTGGGAGAAACTCGCCGAAGCTGCCCTCCTCCAAGGAAATCATCGGATCGTCGAAATGGCTTACCAGAGAACAAAGAATTTCGAGAAATTATCTTTCCTATATCTGATCACCGGAAATCTCGAGAAGCTGCGGAAAATGATGAAAATCGCCGAGATTAACCGAAACTTCTCGGCCCAGTTCACCAACGCGTTGTATCTCGGAGATGTCGGAGAGCGGATCAGGCTGCTCGAGAACGCTGGACAGAAGAATCTAGCGTATCTTTGTGCCGCTACGCATCGTTTCGACCGAGAAGCGCAGCAGCTGGCCGAGGGATTGGAGGGGAGCGCCGTGCCATTGCCGGACAAGCTGGATTCGGCCGCGCTCATTCTTCCGCCTCCTCCAATCTGTCAACTGGACGAAAACTGGCCTCTCCTGAGCGTAAACCGCGGCTTCTTTGATACCGTCGCTATCCAGAGCAAGAAGACGGCGGTTGCCGTCGCCGATCTCGACGACGTGGAACCGGCCGGCTGGGGAGACGACGATCTTAAATTCGAAGAAAACGGAGACGAGAAATTCGATGATGCCGAGCTCGATCTCGAAGACGGTGGCGGAGACGGCGAAGGTTGGGACATCGGTGTCGACGACGTAGAAATTCCCGCGGAGCTCCTCGACACCGCGGGGGCGGACGCGGCGGACGTCGGTTTCTTCATCCCACCAACACGTGGGGTCAGCGTCTGTCAAGAGTGGGTCGATCAATCTCGACTAGCCGTCGACCACATTCTAGCCGGCAGTTTCGAAACCGCAATGAAACTTCTCAACGACCAGGTGGGGATCGTGAACTTCGCTCCATTCCATAATCATTTCATGGCTACGTTCGCCCGCTCCAGAACCGCCGTCGAAGGCTTCCCGTTGACGCCCACCATGTACAGTTTCCCCCAGCGTTCCTACGGGAAGAACAAATCTCTCCCAGCGCTCGGCTGCAGATTGACAGATTTGATAGAAAGGTTGCAGCAATGTTATCAGCTTACGACAGCTGGGAAGTTCCAAGAAGCGGTGGACAAACTTCGTTCGTTGTTACTTAACATCCCTCTGATGATTGTTGAGACCAAGCAAGAAGTCACAGAAGCCCAACAGCTTCTCGAAGTATGTCGTGAATACATTGTCGGTCTGTCGATGGAACTCGAGCGCAGGAACGTGCTCAAAGACAGCCCAGACGACCAGAGACGAGTGTGCGAGATGGCGGCGTACTTCACTCACTGTAAGCTGCAACCCACGCATCAGATTTTGACGCTGAAAATCGCTGCCTTCCTCTTTTACAAGAACAAGAATTTCAAAACGGCCGCCTCTTTCGGTCGACGTTTCCTCGAGCTCGGACCGAAACCAGACTCGGCGCAACAGATCCGAAAGATTCTCATGGTTTGCGAGAAAACGCCTCAGGACGCTCTGCCAATCGAGTACGATGAGCACAACCCATTCCATCTCTGCGCTTCGGCATATGTGCCGATCTACAGGTATGCTATGAACTCCTTACGGGACTTGTCCGCTAATACGGATCGCCCTCACCACCAATATCGTGGAACGTCGAGCTCTTGACATCGATCCTCTTTCCATTTCAGGGGGAAACCCGAGGTCCAGTGTCCCCTCTGCCAAGCCTCGTACCAACCCCAGTTCAAGGGCACAGTGTGTGTCGTATGCTCTGTGGCCGAGGTCGGCAAGGAAACGTCGGGCCTGAAGCTGTCGTCACAGCAGTTCACTCGATAGGGAAGGATTATCACGACCAAGGAGAAGACGTTGGTGTCTGAAGGAGATTCCCTCGACGCATATATTCATTGGCCGAGGGAATCTTCTCAGCTCCGACTTCTCATTACGTGTGTATGGGAATTTTTAGAACGACCATAAGTCATGGATTTTTGAATGTGGATCGCTGGCGGGACAAGAATAAATTGCCCAACCCATGAGTTTATTCCGGATGTCTTCGATCTTACGATCAGGTCACTCCTGATGCTCTCCGCGTGATGGCCTGACCCCGTGACGCGTCTCGAAAGAGAAAAGAGAGACAGCTACATCCTCCTTCTCGGCGATGGTAGCGATCGGGATTTGCTGGCGGCTCGCCTCCTACACCTCCATGTCAAAATCAGTGGGAGCCGTCGCGCACGATTTGCTTTGGAGAACGACACCTGGCAGTGACGTCTCCTGACGCTCGTCTCATTTCCACGACTCGACGCATACGCACGATGAGCATGTGTAAATTCATCCATTTCACGAATGATAGGGAAGAAAGAGGGCGTCTTCTTTTCGTCCCCTTATCTGAATATCGCGCCTCGAGTCAAGAAAGCGGGTGTCTCTGTTCAATGATTCTGGCATGTTTCAAGCAACGGCGTCGGTGGTGGTCCGTCGAGGAAGCCTGCATCAGGGGGACGGCCCATCGGTAGTGCTCGAGTCAAGATCCAATGTTCTATAGGTCGGTGTAATACGTCCGTGCGTGCGTCATCAATCACGGTAGTGAGAGAGTCCCCGCTCATGCTCGTTGACTGTTTATCCGGATCCAGAGCCTAGGAATGAGAGCATTCTCTAGATATTCACAAATGGTCGATGCTGGACTTCGCTTCCGGCGCTGAATGAATAGCAGCGTCGATCGTCTGATTATGAATCGAGGATATTGTCTGACGCTTCGATCGAACTGATGAGAACCGCCGATCGGAATGAACTCTCTCGAATCTCTCAGATGATCCGATATGACCGGGGTGCGAGTGGGCTGCTCTGAGGTCAAGTTTCTTACGTTGGAAGGTGAAGCCTGAAAAGATAGCTCATCCATGCGGAGCATTCGCGGACTCTGCCGAGAATCAGACCCTAGAGGCCACTGCAAAATTCACGGGGCCTCACGAAGAACCGGGATTATCTCGACGTAGGTTTCGGAAGAAATTATTCGAAGTCTAAACTTCGCGTCCTCTCTCGGAATCAAGTCTCTCTACATGACAGGCCATCTTGGATAGTGCTCAGGCTGAGTACCGTACAGAGCTCCTGCAGAGCAGCGACTGATGAGATCGTCATCTGTTGGAAGTCTCGATCAGCGGATTCGCTCTAATTGATGCTCGAATCAGACTTTCGTTGCAGAATCGTATGTCGGAAGCCCCGCGTCTCCTCAGGAGCAGATTATTCGCTCGTCACGTGTTGAAGACGCAGCCAGAAAACAGGACCTTGGTGCCGGAAGTTTTGCTAGCGGTAGAAACAACTTTGCCCTACGAGGCGCCAGTGTTCGCGATAATAACTGATCGCGATTGTTTGCGCGGGAATGATGACGGCGAGAATGTATGAGCCGTGATCGAGACCTCAAAAACCGCAGCAGTCGAAGCGTGTCTCGTCTAAATGAAGTCATCCCGGAAATCGCATCGAATTCATATCAGGACCGAGCTCTCTTCCACGGAAATTCTCCATGCATCTATCGAACGCATAAGGAGGAGGAGGTTCGTCTTGCGTTCAGTCTACATCCCCTTCTCCTCCGGATATCATGGTCAAGTGTACTCCAATCGAGGGATCTGTCGTCAGCAGGAGTTGTTTTGACAAGCAGGGATTAATCGATTATGACCTACGACGATCGAAACATATTATTTCTGAGCATTACTCTGGTAGCACCTTCCTGCAGCTCTCTGTATTCGCTCGATCCTCGGCACCCAATACCCACCCAATACCCCTCGCGGGGGCTCCTTGGTTCGTCTGGTAATCTGTGTTGGTTGACCGAGAGTTTTGCCCGCGATATCTATGCATTTCCTCGCAAAATCTTGCGCGTCCAGGTGTCATATATCGCGCCAATGTTCCGTCGCGCAATCATCGCAGAGCTACTTAAATGATCGAACTCGAGAAAATATCAATCTCATTCGCAGGCTGACTATTTCCACAGGCAAGAATATGCCGCACGTGCCCCGCTGACCCGTGCATTGGTGAGTTTCTGAACCGCAGTACAAAGCAGGATTCGTGCCAAGCTACGAGCATTCGTTTGTTAATGGCCATCATCGAATGGCCCTTCGTATCCTTCCGCTGAGAGGCAGGATTTCCGGCGTGAACCGTGTCCCCTGGTCCGATGCTTCGTTCGAGGGTTTTCTGATCATCTCTGGGAATCTGTTTTGGAGGGAGAAATCGAGAAAAAATTCAGGAGGGACTCTTTGCCGTCGAGTGTCCATCCCCCCCGTGTCGCTTTGGCTTTGGCCGGCTAGTGTCCCTCTAGCCATGAGGGTTACTCCCCGTTCAGGTCCTTTCATGTCACGATGAAATTTCAAATTCGATACTGTCGAGCGAAGAGGAAAATATCTGATTTGACAGGCCTCAGTCCGCAGGTCCGGAGTGGCTCCCTAGCGATGAGGGGCGAGAATGGCAACGAGTTCCAGTTTTGCCCGATATCCACAGACTCTCGTATCCTGAATTTTGGATCCATTTGAAGAAGCTGCATTCGATCGGGCACTGAATGGGAGCTGATTCCGCGTCGGTGTGATCACAGGGCTCATTGATGAGAATTCGAAAGCAAATCAGCCTCGTCCCAAATCCAGTGCTTATCCGGTCCGACACGAATCATTGCTCAACGGAGGCTGAAAGATCATCCGCTGGGTGCTCAGGGACGGGCCTATCCTTTCGGGAGAAAAACATGCATGATTCGACGCGCATTTTCGGATTGTAGCAATGGAGGAAAATGCGCCCGAATGGAAACGGATTGTGATTCCATTCCTCTCTATGTGTTGTCTTCTTTATCGCCGAGCGGGCCCTCGCCTTGACTAACGGCTCGAATTGCAATGAGTCTCTGTCGACGCACAAAGTCGAGCAACAGCAAGCGCGAGTGACTCCGAGGAAGTCGGGTGAGATTATTGCGAACCTCCTCAGACGATATCGGAACCGCGTCCGCGAACCGTTCGATTGTTTTCGCTATGCGCTAGGCTAGACAAGCTGTACGAGCGCGGCAAAGATCGGCGTTCCCGCTCGTCGAAGTACCGAGTATCTAATCAGAATTGACAGAAATCGAATCGGGTGACGAAACTACAGGCTTTCGAGTTTCTGAGAAGCACCGCAGGAATAGGCTCTGCGCAATATTCTATCATGCGGTGGTGCGAAAAAGGTCTCCTCCAATTCTGTGAAAAATTCTGTGACGGTCGACGCCGTGTGGCATCGGCGCGCGTGACGTCACAGGAAAGTACTCATCTCTCCGCATCGGGAATTCGCTGCGTCCCCTCATGTTACCGAGCGAGTTGTTTCCACTCCCATTGGTGGAACGCTGAGTGAGCGCTCCTCCATGTTCCTTCCGAGGTGATCTTCGTTCCGTGGTGGTCAGGGGAAATCTTCGCTGAACGTTCAACATCAGTGCTGAATTCCGTGTTTACCTAGGTGTTCAACCGAAACGCAAGTTTCGAAGATTCGATCCGGTCTAACAATGTTTTGACTCAAGATCGGTTCCAGTCGAGAAACATGAGGCTCTTCATATGTGTCAGCGTGTACTGGACACTCACGCTGGCTTCGCCGGTCGAAGTTCAGGTGCAAGGTCGGTACAGGCCACAAGGGCAGAGCGCGGTTACTCCTATGTCGAATATCACGAACTACCTCGGCTTCATGATTTTCAAGGGTTTACCGGATGACGACAAAATCGTTTCTCCGGTATCCTTGATGGAAGTCCTATTCATGCTTTATTTCGGTGAGTTCTCGCTCCTTCGCTGTGTCGCATGATTCTCACGAAGAATTGTTGGCCCGTCGAGAGTTCGCTCCGCTATACCTCCATCCTTCAATGAACTAATCTTCTCTTCTGCATTCCCAGGTACCAAAGACCGAACCAAAGATGAGCTCGATGAACTGATGCAGTTCGCCCGCTTCGGTTTGAACGACGAGGAACACATCGAGAGCGATATCATCTACCAGATTCGCAAATGGAAAAATACAAAAGGCGAAATCATGGATCTGACTAGAGCTTACTCTGCAGAAGATGTGAGTTTTTTTCCGCAGAGCCTGACGCGGCATGTTCGCGACCCAACCTGAAATTCTCGTCTATCTTCCCTTCCAGATATACGAACCCTACATGCAGCGATTGAATTCTATGTTCGATGCTGACATTTCCAAGGTGGATTTCCTAAAGAGCTCGCATATGGTGACGGAGACGATAAACAAGTGGATATCCGAAAAGACTAGCGGCAACATAGACAAGTTCTTCAAGGAAGATCTCGACGTATACACGAAGCTCGTCTTGATTTCGATCATCACCTTCAAATTTCATTGGAAGGACCCTTTCCACGCGGGTGTGTCTTCAGGAAATGATAGGGGACGCTGAGTTGGCAGATATAATTCTATTCCCGGGCAAGGAACGAGCTTTTCTCGACTATTTTCCAGGAATGAGCCGCGAGGGACTGTTCAACAACAAGGACAAAGAACAAGCATATGCAACGTTCATGTACAAAGAGAATGACGTCGAAATCGGTTTCAATGAAGTCGCTCATTCTGTGACCGTGAAGCTGCCGTACGAAAACACTGACTACGACATGTACATCATTGGTCCATGGGGAAAGAACGGGGAGAATGATAGCAGCGTTGAAGATATAGAGCAATTTTTGAATCAAACCAAGGGTTTTGATGCACTGCTCGCGACCGACAAGAAACCCAATGGCACAATCGGAATCGAAGTTCCCAGATTCGTTGTCTCGTCAGAGGTCGACGTCAAAGGGTCGCTCGCGGAGCTCGGCGTCAAAACACTCTTCACTCCTCAGGCAAACCTCCAACGAATGAGTGCCGGGGGCCTACATGTTTCCGGCATAAGACAAGCCGGGTACGCCAAGATCGACGAGCAGGGAACCGAAGCAGGAGTTGTCACAGGTGAGCTTGATCGGAAATGTATCGGGAGAATCGACTGCTTCGCCGGGCTGTGAACTAATGCGAGACTCTTTCAGCTGCAACCGCCAGCTCACGCATGGTGCCTACCAGGCTGAAGAATACGGTCACCTTCAACAAACCGTTTTTGTTCACCATCAGGAACAACAAGTTGAATCTAGATTTGTTCATGGGGAAAGTTACGAATCCTCCTAAGAATGTCCTGTGAGACTACGTCGAATAAAGTGTGTAAAGAGAACCCTCGTTCTTAGGGAGTGCTTCGTATTGTACTCCGCGCTGATACTCCAATCGTATCAGAAACAGGGGGACAAAGGAAGCTCAATCCAAAGAAACCCCTTCTGCTGTGATGATTTGGACGCCAATCAAATAGGAGAGCTTTAGAAATCAAGAACAAGCATGATTTACTCTATGAATTGTTGTATCGAAGTCATTTCTTGTGCTCGATTGGCCGTGTTTCTCCCCTAGAATCGAGGGACCGGGTCAAGCGACATGCTCGCTTTGATCCGATTCAAGCCCTGACGGACCAGGGTCAGTCAAGTTGGCGAAACTTCGAAGAGAAGGCAAGCTCAATCAGGAAGGCGACTCCTTTGTCTTAGTTCTGTACATAGGATGCCTGCAATCTAATACTTCCTCTCTTTGGAACACAATCCGACGGTAATTGGTCGCTCACCGCACGCGTGAGCTCCTCGAACAACGAATCTCACAATTCTCCAAAGATGATGCCTCAAGCTCGAAAACAATGGAGAGCAGGACATTCGATAACATACGAAGTCGACGCGCGGAAGCTGTCCCGAAGTCCAGAGTCCACACTCCAGAGGGGGTTTCGGACCACGAGATTGACAGACAGAGCGCCCTGGAAAAGTAATTCTAGGATAGCTCCTTCGAACTCGGGCATGAAAAGTCGCGCAGGGAGAACTATATCCCGGAGATTCTGAGGGGGACCGGGACCCCTAGCCTGTCGCGGAAGGAGACGTCACTCACTTAGGGAACTCTTCCCTAGTCTCACCGAAAAGGTGCATGTACCGGACGTGCGGATGTCGGTACCGAAGACCAGTCGTCACCAAGCATGAGATCCACAGAGCTCCGCGGTCTCGCGCCAGTTATAAGGTCAAGTATGGTACGGTGCGTAAGTTAGATTCCTGATGGAGAAACTTATCGCCCAGGATCGAGCTGGGCTCACGATGGCTCTCGACTTTGGAATGTCAATTTTGCTGTGCGATGTCGATGGAGATCGACTCCGCCGGAACGTCGAGTTCCCCAATCATATCTGCTTTCATCCGATTCCCCTTCCAAAGACTATATCGACTGATGATTTCTCGGCCCGAAAACAGAGTGAGTGAATCACGGTGCATAGGGCTGTGCACTAGCAGGGGAGCTCATAAGTAACTCAGGCACAGCGAAGAATATCTGGAATCCCGATTCATTCCAGGGCTTGAAGTTCAATTAGTCGTTCGGCATTCATTTGAGGAACTCGGCTAGTCGGGGGTTCACTGCCCAAGGAGACTCCCTACTCTACAAAGTAGCCGCCGAGCTCTGTTCGATGAGCAATAAGCGGAATCATGTTTTCCCAATGGACTGATGAGCTGCGACATCCAATTGTTCGGCCACGGGAGCACGAATTTCTGAATCCCATATTCCTCGGAATGTACGAAAAAGAATTTTACTGTCCGTATTCGAAATTCCGGTGTCAATGTGGACGGGAGATGAAGAATCCCATGGAGACGCTAGGTATCGCGAAGTTAGGAGCTCGGGCAGGGCATTCAAACGCTGAATGGGTCCAGTCGATAGAAGTGCGCCGTCCGCCGGGGGCTTCTCGACTAGGGGGAGCCGACCGAGTTCTTGAATCGTACAGCTCTGAGCCGCGATTCGATTTCATTCACGAGATCAATGATCTCAAGAACTTCATACACTCCGGGAGTGGCAAGTCCTGATAGGTGAAGCGGGAATATCTCTGAAATAGAGAGGCGCGCAATCAAATCTGGGGTACGGTATCAATCCTCGGGAGTCTTGCTTCACTAATCTCTTTCTAGATCTGGAGCTGGTGAGTTTTTGCGCTACGCGTGTCGGAGACGCGGGTCCAGGCGTTTCACGTCAGGGAGGTGGAGGATCAGACCGGATACGAAACCTCTCATGGAACGACTCAGATTGAGATCTGCTCATGGAAAATTTTTATTCGTTGGCCCTGTATCAAGGTCTCGTTTACAGCAAAACTTTTTTGGAGTGACAGAACATGTCGACATCAAGTTGAGAGAGAATGGAAGGTGTCAACCGGCGATATACGTTTCACATTTACATTTATTGAGGTTGCTCTTAGATTCCCCTCTCCCTCTCAGACTAGAGTATAATTACACAGATTGCGTGACCACCGATCGCGCCGAAGCGCCGTCTCCGAGAGGACGTTCCATGTTCGACTGCTGTGAGCTGTGTCATGTGAGATTCTTAAGAAAGGCCGGGCACTATCGAAGAAGCGACGATCGTCACTGTCAGCTACGGGGAATGACGCAACAGCGCAATCTGGTGGCACCCAGGGTGATATCAAAGTTCTTGCAGCAAAGCCCATCCCTTTCATTTGCGAACATTCATCAAACATTTCTATCATCCCACTCATATCCCAAACACTCCTCTGCCATTCGACGCCATCGCGGCGTCGAAGATTCTGATTCAGTAGGTGTCTACGAGTTTCTCCCTAGCTGGAAGCTCTATGTACATTTTGATAGATCAGACTCATGGCTTGAATTTTGTGCTCGCTCTCGTTTTTTTTCTTGAAGACAAGCCCATATTTCGATGCATTGAATCGAGGCATGCTCAGATGGGATCGTTCGCTCGCTCTTCCATCCATGCATCGACCTCCGCGCTGTGTGAGGTTACACCGTCGAGTTGAGCAATCATTTGACTTCTCAGACCCTATTGCTTATCGAAGTTTGTAGTGAATCCGCGCATTATAAGTAATTTATAATTTATGTACCCTTGACTCTGAGTTCCCAGCCTTGGATTGTCGTTGTGAATAATCTCTCCGTCCCAATTCAGCTAGTCGAGGAAGAGCTGCGGACCTCGACGTAGGAGAATCCAAGCGAGATTCACGTCTTGAGTAGGATCGCTCCGAAGCTCTGGCGAAGACCTGCCTCGGAGAGCGGGCGAACGATCTCCCCTAATTATTATTGTTATTCCTCACCTCAGGGATAATTTCCCCGAGATACTGGAGCTTCCTTCGAATCGACCCTGGCGCTTGAATCTATACATCGAGAGTTTTTGCCGGCGTCTTGAAAAGACCGATGTGAGCTTCGTCGGCTGACTGATGAAGTTCCTCAAGGAATTCAATAATTCGAAAATCGCAACTCGGTCATACAATGTTGCGTGAGTGGTGGCTACCGCCCAATACCTCATTCGCCTTTATATAATTCGATATATCCCGGGTATTATTTCACCAGAGCTATGTACATACGTATGTATAGCGTCCATTTCACGAAAATCAGGTCTGGATCAATGATTCTTCTCTAGCCTAGCCGACCTCACGAGGCGTCGGGAAATTCCGGAAGCAGAACAGCTTCTGGGATCCCGATTGAAGCCTAGATGGACATCTCATGTGAGAATTGTTTTGCGGAAGAGTTAACTGTCCGGTTTACGTGAAATGGACTATCGACAACTTGGAGATATGTCGACGGAGATTTCCGACTCATGTTCCTCAACGCACTGCGAGAAGAACAGCTCGAAAGTAAAGCTCAGAAAGCCCCTTTCAGCCATGGGGTTGAAGCTTTGGAGCGGGCAGCTGTGAAGGGTCCGACCTGGCAAGTATCTTATGCCTTAGGATCGTGTATTAAATGCTGATAAACGTGGCTGTTCGGAGTAGAGCACCGATCCATTGAAGTATCCATCGCTCTCTGGAAAGACAAGCATTTTTCTCAGTTGGCATTCCTTCCAGGATTTCAGGAGATTCGAAACTGTTTCGTTAGGGATAGGACTGGACTTTGTCTAGGGGTTCGCTTCCCGAGCAAACTCACCCGTTGTTGGCTGAGCATGGTTGAATTGGTGGTAGACGATTGACTTCTACTACCTTGGCTGACGCTTCGCGCATGCATAGCCTGCCACGAACACAATCTGGCGTGCAATTCCGTGAAAGAGGGTCGACGCGCTGACACTTCATGCCAACACTCGACCATCATCGAATATACGTGTGAAGGACACTCCTCAGGACAGGGGAGCAGCTGGCGAGCGCGAATCATGTCGATAACTTCTTGATTATTGTAACCGTAATAGGGTTGGCAGCCATACGAGAAGACTTCCCACATAACGACGCCGAACGACCAGACGTCGCTCTCCGCAGTGAATTTCCCGTACAGGATCGCCTCTGGAGGCATCCATCGCACGGGAAGGAGACTCTTCGACTGAACACGATAATAGTCCGACGAGTATATGTCCCTGGACAGACCGAAGTCTGATATCTTAACCGTCATGTTCTCGCCCACGAGAGCATTGCGTGCAGCCAGATCACGGTGCACGTAATGATGAGCCGCCAGAAATTCCATTCCCGCGGCGATTTGTCGACAGATATGCAGGAAATCAGAGAATTCCAGAGTTTGATTGATCGAGTCGGCTCGGGCGGGGGAGTGCGCTATGAGATACTCGTGCAAGTCGCCATGTTCCATGTACTCGAATAGCAAACACATGGGCTCTTGTCTGGTCACAACGCCGACGAGACAGACGATATTCGGATGGTGGAGATCGGCCATCAGCTCCGCTTCGCGTTGAAAATCGTGTTGGACCTTGGCGGTGGCGTTCTCCTTCAGAGTTTTGATGGCCACCGGGAGCTCCCCGTTGGGAGTCCCGTTCAGGAATCGGTTGTTGAACATCGTCTGCTGCTGCGTTGCTAACCAATCATAACCCATGATGGATCCTCGGTACACTTTTCCAAAAGCACCTTCGCCTAGCTCCTCGATAAACTTAATCGAGGACAACGGGAACTCGGGTGCGCGCACCTGAGTCCTAGGCAAGAGCTTATTCAGTTCCATCGTGTTGATCCTGCTTTGAGTCGCTGATCCATTCTTGGCAACTTTCAAGGCTTGCAGTGAGTTGTTGACCAGCGAGGTGGGCGGCGGTTTGGATGAAGCTCGGCGACGGATGCAAAATACCGACACCAGGAGGGACACCAGCGCAACCGCTGCCACACTAGGCACGATCACGTACAACCACATGTAGTCTGCTGGAACAAAGGAACCGGTGAATTCTCTGCGAGACGGGAAACTACCAAAATCTCTGCCCGGGGATCATCCATAAGCTCCGGCGGGGAGAAATCGTGACACTGACCACACTTGGGAATGTTGCAGATTTCCTTGCGATTTCCTTCGGTGAAGCACCATGGTCCCGATTCCGAGCCGTCGGGATTTCGGCAGTAGGAGTGTCCGCCCAAAATACCCTCATGGGCTGCAACTCTCGAGTAGAGGATTTGATGATGCCAAGGCTGGCAGGGGTTTCCAGATATGCCAACTGAAACCGCCCCTCGGTAGGTTTCTCCTATGCCTTCGTAACAGTGCTGATCTGAAGAAATCAGAGAACTTGTTTTCAGTTCCCCGGTAGGGCTTCACGGGATCGAGGAGACTCTCTGTCTATTCACAATCTAATTAACGTTCGGGATCTGATATATGAGCTACCGCTGTCCGACAGCCGGGTCCCACTAGCCGAGTGGGCAGCATGGAACGCGACCGACCCACGAACGAGCAGTTCCCCTCAGAGAGTTCCTTTTTCCTCTCTAATTGAATATGTTTCAATTATTACGAGTCCACTTGTCATCTCCTCGGAAGTCACAACGCCAGACTGCTCCATGGCGGGGTAGTGGGGCGGGGAAGATTCGCTCGAGCGACCACCGTCTTTCGGACCGTAATGCCGCCACGGCCAACGCCGTACGAAAAGTAAGATCGTGCACATCATTCGACGCAGGCATGCACGCTCCGCAGTAAACGAAACTCTCCAGCTCACTCCAGGGATTAAGCTCGAATGACCATCTTGCTGCTCAAGAGCCGCAGCTTATGCTCCACAAATATCTGAGAGCTCGGTGGAAAGTTTGCTTCCTCCTTTTCTAATCGGTGAAGAATGCTGGACATCTCACCTTCATCGAGCTGGATGATTTTCGGCAGGGGTATTCCGAGAGCGAGACACTTTGCCCCTTCTCTGGACTCGCGCTCGGGAAGTTTTTTGCAGTCGGGCAGTATATTGGCTGGGCCGATGACGGGATGTCGTTTTGCTATCGAATATTCCATTCGGCAGATTTTTTCCTCCAAGAGCTCACATTCGTCACGGCAAACTGGAAATCAGCAAATGTTTTCAGTCCGTATACCTCTCATTCTATCTGGGAACGGTAATGTGGGTATCCCGGGAAATATGCACGGATGGATAGCTTCTCTGCTCAGAGCCTCATCGAAGTCAGGAATTATCATCGTGTCATCTCGCAAAGCCTCCAGATCGAGGACTTTTACCATTATTAATATTATTTTCATTGCCGAAACGATTGATCTCGGTTCGAGGCAGAAGAGTACGGCAAAGATGCGAGGTTCGGAATTTGTTCGTGTGACAAGTATCAGAGGGAACTCTCGCGCAAGACGTCCACGAGTTGATGAGGAAGGAACTTACCCATTTGGGGCTTGTGCGCATGCACCGTCTTGTCACAGGGAGGGAACGCGAACATACACAGAGATGGGAAGGCGAATTTCAAACATTCGGGACTGACATCGTGAGAGCTCCTGACGACAGTCAGAACTCCGGCGAGTTTCTCTTCCAGATGCGGGATACTGAGTCCGGGACGGACGTATACGGTCTGGTTGCTGAGGTAGTTCTCGCAGGCGGCTCCGCGGTAAATCTCGCATTTTCCTCCTCTCAAGTACGTGTTGGGATCGTCGGGATGGAATTCACTAGAAGGTCAAGATGATTCGTTGATATTAGAACGCATTCCCAGAACGAGTGCTTCCCCACTAGTAGAGGGACTCGCCGAACCGGAGATGACGATTGAGTGGTGTATCTCATCAAGTGACATTTGCTCCCTGAACCGCGGCAAGACGACAGCGGGCTCTGGCGAACAAGTCGACCGGAATTTTGAGTGTGTGCCGGCCTGGATGATGTTGAGCTGTCAATCGCATCCGCGGCCTCCTCTCCCTGACTCTTTTTCCTGTCAGCCCGCGTCGACTGCAGGGCGGTAAGGAGGCTCTATTACATATATGATACGCCTCGAATCGCTCGGCAGAAGCACCGAGGATCGGTTCAGGGCTCCAACAAGCTGCGAAGATTGAACTTGAGCCAAGATTTGCACTTCGGTCCATCGGGGTTCCATATTTGGACCACGAGACGTGACGACTCATCAAGGATTTATTCTCCCGAATGATTCGAAGCCCTATGGCGAGATTTCTACTGAGGAATGTTCATCGAAGCTCGTTCAGATCGCGAGATATACAGCTTAAAAGGGACACATTCTCTTTTAGTGCAGGAGTTTGTATTCCATTTGGGGAGATGCGCGCATAAGTTAATAAGCCCTGCGCGGAGCCTCCACGCGGGGTGCAAGCGAAACTTGCTGCTACTTCCTGGTCGAATCCGACTGCCCGAGATATTCATGACAAAAACGTGTACGGCATCCTCGTCTCGCTACACACAGGCATCCGCTCGTCGCACGAGGCGGATGTGCACGAATATATTCACGCCGTTGTTGTCAGCGCAGTGAATTTTGCAGCATCGCTGGCTGCACGCATCCGTCTCCCAAATTAGGCCGCGCAGGGTACCCATCGGTCAGGAGGGCCATGGAGGCATTTTTTTCTGCAAGACTGTTTGCTCGATCAGATCAACAGGAGAGCTGACACGCTGTGTGCGGTTCCTTTGACCCTCAGCGCGGGCTTCGGTCGGGTGGGACACCGATTCGCGTCTGCCGCATCATTCCCGGAGCGGCCATTCTCAATCGGAGCTGTCCTCCAAATCGCCGGACCGAGGTTTGCCGAAGACTTGCGCGAGAGGGGAGCTCTCTATCGAGATAATATAAGGGTCATGAATGTCCTTGATGTGTAGGGCTGTAGGAAGAGTCGTTCTCGTAGCTCATGTACTCTCGACCGAAATATAGATGAAGGAGCCTCAGCTCTCCTCGAACCAAGTTCGCAAAGCCGACAGGTTTTCATCAGACCGACCATTAATCGAAACCTTGATGGACAGACTTCGTCGCCGAGCTCCACGATTTCTAGCTGCTTCCACGCTTTTTCCCGGCTCGCTCCCAGCTGCGATCGGGAATGTGGTTCGCAGCTTAGAGCGAATCGGCAACGGGACAAAAAGCTCTTCTCCGTATCGATCGCTTCGTAAGTGGATGTGAACACGTTCGGAGAAGTTTACAAAACGGGAAACTCCAAGAATCTCGCTCATTGTCGAGCGTCGTTCCCGGAGAATCGGAAACAAAGAAGAGAAACAAGCGAGGCGCCAAGAAACAACACGGTTCCGCACCCAGAGCAGGGCGCGGTAACGACGACGGTAACACTCCATATTTCTCCAGCGACATCTGCGTGCAGACCACAAAGGACCCCCTCACTCCTTCCCCCCGCCCATTCTATCGTCGTCGTCTTCGTCGACGCTTGTCCCCATCAATCTACACAGTGGTGGTAGACGCAGGGACAACAGGCAACTCTATCCTGGTGTGCTGCAGCAGGCGTCGAAAAACAGCGGGCTCGGAAAGAAAATAATCAACGGAGAAAGGGAGGAATAATCCAAACGCTCTCTCGAGTGAATTTCCAATGACAACTACTGCGGTTCGCTCGGTCTTCATCCACCCAGTAGCAACATCTGGCGTGCGGAGACTAACGAACGAGCATGCGAGCGAAGGTTCCGAGCGATCGGCTGCCTCCCAGAGCTTGCTTCCGGAGGAACGGTCCTCTCCAACTAACGCTGAAGACCAATGGCCGGTGCTTCACAGACCTTGAATATCACTCTCGTTTGCTACGTTGAACAGCCTGAGCGACCGGCGTTGCCAACTGAATTCAGGCTTTGAGACCGATCGCTGTTTCCGTTAGACGGAGATCCCGTCACGCTTATCACTAAGGCTACCGTGCGTACTCGGCACGAGGAGTCAAGCGAACAGACTGACAGAGGGCTGCCTCTCCGGAGACTGCCGAGCACTAGCTTGCCGATCCACGTCAAGCAAAGCGTGAGGCATTCGTTCTGCCTTGTCGGCGGGTACAGGGAGAATACATGGATACATGAAAATTCTCGATCTAAACCACTTATCGGTCGAGGCATCTCATTCGTTCTCCGTCGTAACCTTTTTAATCCCAGAACGTTCGCGCATGGTCGAAGAGCGCTCGGAGGCTCGTTACGGGGCGCTCGCGAGCACCTCGAGGGATCCTCTACGTATACTGCGAATTCCGCTCCAAGAATCAATACTCACCTTCCCTCCATGTTGCCGAATTCTTTGACGAATCCCGGCGGGAAGTTGCCAGGGTTTTTCCCGAAGGAAGCGCCCATCGGACGATTTCCGAGACCGCCGATGTGGGGTAATCCGCCCCCCATGTTCGGTAACCCGCCTCCCATATTGGGCAGTCCGCCGCCCATGTTCGGTATTCCGCTGCCCATGCTCGGTATTCCGCCGCCCATGTTTGTTGGCATATTCGCGAACAAACCGGGGTATCCTTGGTTCCGGTTATCGTAGTCTGTAAGGAATTCGAAAATTACTCTCTGAGTAAGAGTATCTTGATTGATAACATTATTGCAGAGAGCAGGAAACTCGGATGAACGATCGAATAAACACGCGGATGGACGAACGGGAGATGGCTGTTCCAAAACAAATACGAAGTCAAATCCGACTAACTGTTGAAATAACGCTGCGCCCGTTATCCTCACGAGAGGCAGTAAATATCACGCATGGAGGCCCTGACCACCCAAGGAGACGTTCAGATCATTTCGGTGCTAACCTACAACCTTCTGATTTTTTTCTAACTACCACTAAGTGAATGTGCCATCCGCCGCAACTTGGCGTAAACGTCAGTGAATCACTACAGCATTTACAACATTCAACTACGGTCCCGGACCGGGAAGCCGATGGCACGCTCTGGGAGCTAGCGGACGATCAGAGCGCGAGTCTTTATCAGGAGTATATCTGAAGCGCGCGATGAGCGTAGAAGAAAAAGATGTCCCCCTTCCGGATGGACGTTAAGGTTGTCATGCGCGATAAGCTCTGTCTCTTGCGTAGACAGCTCAAATGACCGAGCTCTTCGAGCGCCACGAACCCACGCCCAGGCTCTTCTTCGAAGGCAGAAAGAACATCAGGTCCGAGAGCATAAAACTCCAAGATTGATTCTCGGGATGATCTCATCAGGACTAGGGATAATCCAGAACATATTCAATCGATATCCTGCAAATCGGAAGAAATCCCGGTGATCGTCTCAGAAATGCCTCGATTGCGAACAACGAGATATACGTCGCGTCGTTTTCCCCCTAGCCCAGCTATGCGGCCTCCTCCCTTTCTCGACTTGTTTGACATTTTAGACCTCCTGCGTTTTTCAGCTCCCAGCAGGGGCGCCTCATGGGCGTCACAGAAAAACATATAGCCATGCACACTCAGACTGGATTGATGCTGAGAGGAGGGTGGGTGAGGTGAGGCAAAGTGAGCTGAGGTGCCATCGTCGTCGGTCGATGGAGAGCCTCGGACCAAATCAGCACGGACTATCGGGGGCGCGCGGACCCCAGCTGAACGCCAAGCTGCGTCATTCCTCTTCGACGGTCAACTGGAAACTTGCCAATACTCTCGAAAGGACCGAAAATTGTCTGAAGACTTGAAAGCGGGGCAAATATTTCGCATTCAATTCCCGGTTTGTCATAAGACATGGCTGGGATGGACTGGAGGTGCTTTATTGAGCTGAATACTAAAACCTCCCACTTCACCAGTGCCGTCAGCCCGTCAGTCAAGTGCCTCTCAACACCAACATCAACGCCCGAGCAGCCGCTTGGCGGGGGTTAGACCCGAGAAAAGGTGGAAGCGACTAACAGCAGAAGAGAATATCGTCGCGACGAACAGAAGAAATGATGAAGTGTGCTCTTCGGGATAGAGCTTGAAACGGAGACACAGGCCTTGAGCTGCATTACTAGCCGACTCGTTCCGGCTCCGATATCTGAAGTAGTCCGGTCGCTCGGTGTAGAAGACCTGTACGCAGTCACTTGACGCGAGAGTGACTACATGCACCGGGAGGCCTTCACAGACTCGAGTAGGAAGCAGCTGCCCCTGCCACTTAACGTCCTGCACATACAGATTAAAACGTTAACGTACGCAATCTGCTTTCTACTGGAGCTAAACGATTCCGTGCTCATCTAGTTACGCTAGCTAACCAGCTAGCACGAGAGTTCTCTCTACGCCGTGTATTCGGCAGAAGAGAAGGGTCGTCGCGTCGTCGTCGCGCTCTGAGATAGGTCACGCGCCTAGGGGTTCGCGCGAGTCGCGGCTCTTTGTGACTCGCATTTTTTCACCGCTGGAGACTTTCTGAGAATTCGGACAATTCCGAGGAAGGTGGTTCATATAAGAGGGAGGGGAGGTTTCTAGGCAGCGATTCGGATGCAGGTGAGTGACCTGCCACCGATCTTTGTATCTGTCGGTGATTGAGCGTAGAATGGTTAGTGGATAGAATTGATTCACATCCGGTCGGAACTCACCGAGGGCAGAGGCTTTGACTTTGAGTATCATGGTGCTCTCGGCAGAGAGACCGTCCTCAGTTTGAGCCCTGCAGGAATAGAATCCCCGGTCGAGGTACGCGAGTTCCGAAATTCTTAGGCGGGACGAATGAGGGCCGGAGTTTTTGATCGTGATTCGTTCATCGTCGAAGTCTTCGAGGGAGGCATCGTTCCGCAGCCACGTGATCCTCAGTTTCCCGCCGTCCGGGGCGCCGGCGAAATCACACCGTAGCTTCAATGTATCTCCCTGCGACTTGGTCATATTCTGCAGCGCCTTCTTTACATGCAATTTGGCTGTAAGAGAAACGGCGTCGGTGAATTTTCGAGTTTCCGGAAGTCCTCCTAGGCAAGAGAATACTTGCAGTATCGCACAGTCGGTGATTTTAATCTACGACCAGTTATTTAAAACTTACACTCGGTTTTCGAATGCGGCTCGCTCTGTATGTGCTCCTCGCGATCCGGTGCCGTCCACTTCGCTTGACTGTCCCTGGAAGGATGAACAAACGTTAGACGATAGGTAAGTCCCCGCTCAACAATCATGCTCATCAACAAGATTATTGTGAAACTTAATTATCATCAGGAAAACTCCGAGTAAATATTTTCACTTTCGCCAGGGGAATGAGTGGCGTAGGAAGCTCGCCGTACAGGTGGGCGTTCAATATGAACGCCATCCGACCGACGGTCTCTTCTCGTCGTATCTCGCCGACTCATCCCCGTTCAGAAACCTCAACGCTGCCGCGCGTACTGTGAAATTGGCAATATCTCCTAAGGAGCCGGAATGCTTGAAGCTGTGCCTATCCGCCTCGGATCCGGCAATGACGGCGCCCCGGTTCCTGTAGCTCGTCTGCCTGTTGTTCGTCGGTTGATCCAGACGACGATGGACCGCCCGCTCGCTAGCTAGCTCGTTCGACCCCATGTACGTCTCTTCGTTTCTCGATTAACAAACACTACAGGCTACCGCTGCGAGGCCTCTCCGGGCGGAGATTCCGAAGAAATGTGGAATGGAATGGAGAAATATAGGAGAGCCACGGGAGCGAATCACACGCAGTTTACACAAGCGGACGAAACAGGGCAAGCTCTTCTCGGACTCTATCAGCTGCCTGGGCAAATCAGCATCATCGAGCTGATGATGATAGACGCATGTATCCTGTCCGACTCACAGCCACCAGTGAAAATCGCAGCCACGGATGGGGGAGACTCCAATGCCCGATCCGTATAGGAATGAATAGGGTTTACGAATGATATTGCGCGCGTGTACACGTCGAGTATCGGAAGAATGCCGCTGTAAAACCGCCTAATGTACATTCACCGGAAGGGCCATAAAAAGTTCTGCTCCACTGGACAGAAGCATCGCTGTGCTGCGGTTTATCGGAGACCCGCATTCCGAAAATTATTCAATTCTGTCAGCTCGGGTGTCCCCTCCTTTGCGGAAGATCATTAACACATCTTTGCGTTGAAATAAATCTGATTGCTGCTTCCTTTCGGTCAATGGCGATTTTCCGAATGAGCTCGTCGCTCTCATCTTCGAATTCTTCCCAACACCCTGTGAGGAGCATCGGAGAGAACTTCTTTGATCCCAGCCTCATCCCCCCGAATTCGATCGCATATGCAAGATACTCAAAATCATTGCAACACTTTCGAAGCTGAGCAATAAATGACACCCCCGAGAAAGGAAAAAGAATCAATGACGCATCAACAACCGAATTGTGAGACAGAGGAGAGGACCCGCGATCAGAGTCTAGATTCAGAGTCACCCTCGTTCCCTGAAAGGCTCGTAGACCACTTTAGATCGACTTCTCTGCTCGGGACAGTCTCGTAGAAATTTGTCGGGAATCCCACAGTGGTTGTGGGTGATCTACGGTGCTTCTCCACCTGCGCAGACCGACGAAGGCCCCCACAGGAAGCCGTTTATCACACCGTAGCTCCTCCGTCTTTGCTTAAGAGAGTCACGCCGTCGTTTCCCTTCGGCTTCTTTATCTTGGAGGAGAGAATCAGCTGGCCCGGATATTGAGATATATAAGAATGTGATGACGCGGAAGAATTCGTTCGAAAACGGGTAATGTCTGATTTTCGTCACGTCGAAAGGCCGGGAACGCCGCCACTGAACGCAGCTCTTCGAAAAATCGCGAACAGCTCCGATATTCGAGAAGTAGGTGACTGAGACTGTGAAGCAGCCGTCATTTTGCTCGGGAATTTCTTATTCGCCGCACCTGTTGGCGGAACCTCCCACGCGATCTCGTTTTCAAAGATTCTCGACAGTATGTAACCAGGCTGCACGCGACTTTCAGCCCCGCACCAGGAATACAGCAAGCGGCTCTGCTCGTATTCTCTTCCACGAAGGAGTCGATACACCTCGGCTCTTGTACGTGATGTCCTCCCCAATTCTCTCCAGAATAGGAAGAGGTCGCGTCTCATCGCGTATTATTGTATCAGAGCACTGTTTCTCTTACACGGGGCTCATAAGTAAGGTTGAAGAATCGAGACCTGAGAACGCGGAGCACTCCTCGGGCACACGCGGGCAACACCCGCGACTAGAGTCTCCGGCGAGGCTGGCATCTTCCGAAAATACGGCTAATCACAAGAAGATCCTTCTTATCATGAATAGCTTCACGCTTTGAGCAGGACTGAGCGGCGCTGAGTCAAGGCCGGCGCTCGGCATTCTCAGAACATGTGTTGAATTCCAGGGGGTTGCGAGAATTCCGCACTCCGCTGACGGGAGTGTTGGAGGGCGGAAGTCTGAGAACTGCTACATACAGATAGCAGTTTGTGTCCCGTACAGCTCTCGACGATTCCGAAGTCGCGTCAGGGTAGAGTTCTTGATTCATGCCAGCCCGACGAACGTGGAGTGCCTCAAAGCTTGGGCCTTCGATACGGTCCCATGAGAAAGAAGAACCCGCATAAACTACATGCTCTTGGGAAGGAAAGAGTAGGAAGGCTCATCAGATAGGAATGAAAGCGGAGCTTGCGACCCTCCGGCGCGTATATTATAGGCATTCTTTGCGGGCTCGCGTTGGGTCGCCGTGACGACGTCTTTGTGAAACGCGATGCCCTCAACTTTGACGGAGAGACCGGGTAATAAAAGAGCATCAAATGTTGACTGACTAATTATACGAAGTTGATCGAGATTCGCTTCCCTGGTCGGGACGAGAGCGCTACGTGTCCGGGCTAGTTCCGTGGAGATTACAATTTACGATCGCGACGTCCGTCCGTAGGAGCCCCCGAGGGAAGGGCTCTGCTGTTACCGTCCCCCTCTAGACTTCGCAGGGATACGCCCCGGTACCCCGTTCCCCCTAGGAATACTTTATAGCCGTTTGATAAAACTAGACCCCGGTGGTGTGTCCACCTCTCCCGGACCCGAACGCACGGACGCACAGACGGAGGATGGTAATGGACAGTGGAATGTGTACTGAGTTGCCGTGTTCTCGCGAGATAGAGTCCACGTTGGAGCGCAATGCATCTGCAAATTCCCACACCGAGGTTGTAAACCGATGACGAACGTCGCTTGCGTGGAGTGGCAGCCCTCGTTGTCCAATGTGTTTCTCTTTGGCGCTCACAAGAAGACTTTGATGTTTGAGTTGATGGCGAAAACACACGCATCCGCTCGACCCTTGTGAGGATGGCAACAGCAACAACAACCTCGAGGAGCCCCACAGTGAAGGGGAGAAAAATTTCCCAGGACACGATCGAGGCAAAGCTCTCGTCAAATAGGGCGCAAGGGGAGTTTGGGCAACTTAGATAATATTTTCCGTCTGCTAAGAGTCAGTTGCGTGAGGCCACCGCAGGCCTCGGCGTGGAGCGGGACCCAAATCGTGGTCGCGAGTCTCAATTTACCCGGAGGTGTGGGGACTGGGGAGGTCGTTAGTGGACCTGATGGCCACTCGTCCCTGGAAAACGTCCTCCCCGTAGAATCATCATCATTAGCACACTCGTCCCCGAAAGCTGGTCCCTCAACAGTCCCTCAATGGCCATGACGGTTGGGATGGTGACGGCTGCTGGTCCCGGAGGCGTCGGTGGTGTCGATCCCTCTGCTAGAACCCCGATTACGCCTCAAATGCCAATTCCAGCTGGAGCATACTTCCCGAGGATAAATACGGCATAACTCCTCCAAACTCCCTGTGGTCTCGATTGCTGAGCACCTGAACCAGGTTAGGATCCTGACCGCGATCACTCGCGCAATCCGCGCAGCGTAACAGTCGAATGACTGAGATACACATCTCCGGACCCGTCAAACTCGGATTTTGGCGATCTCTCGATTATTATCGGACAGCCCACGCCGAAGGGATCGTACGAACGCGCAGTAACGTCATCGGACCCTTCGCCCTCCTTCCGGCAGGCTTGCTGCGAATGCACCGATAAGAGAGTCGTTGATTTCGCACAAGAGGGAAATTTTCGAGTCTCCGCTGTCGTCGTGCCACCCTGCATCAACTCTGACACCAGTTGAAGTTGCCGTAGAGCGCAGCCAGCCGAAAAAGTACGCGGTGTACAGCACTCAGGGGACTCGGAAACGCAAGAAACGTTCGAGAATCTCCTAAGAGCTCGAGACAGGAGCGAGAAGCTCCTCCGTCTTCTGCTTCGTCCCGACTTAGAGAATTGTCCTAAAATGAACCGGCTCCGCACGACGCATGAGCCGATGCGGCAATAAATGACAGCAGGATCTCGCTGGGCTCCGGAGCTTCGTTTCGGCTCAGTCAGTATTTCTGCCGCAATCGCATGGCACGCTTCCCTTCGAGTATCGAGAGCGTCACTAACATGACCACCAGTAAGGCGCTACCGCCGGGTCTCTCGGATATTCCGATCATTAACTCTCCAACAGAAGCGCGCGGCGCAAGCTTGCTGCTGCTAGGAAGCGATATTGTTGAGTCCTGACAGCAGCGAAACATGGCAGCAGCATTCCTCTCCTGCTCTCTTCGCGTGGAAATCTCATTGGTGGCGCTCTCAGGATCGATTTCCCGGGCGTTTTCCGAGCTCCGAGGGGAAATTAAATTCTGAACCTGCCATGCTGGACAGGTTGTATGTTTCGATATGCGGTCCTATCGGCCAGGCGAAATTCTCCGGATCCTCGCTTATAAACGGCAAAGGAAGCTCATCGAAGGAAGGGCAAGGCCTGATCGCGTTCTTCCCCGTTTCCGATCCTCGACTCGATTCCGGAGCGAAATCACTGTTCACTATCGCGTTCACTCAACACGATTCAAGAATTCCATCCTGATATTATCAGCTTAAACCCGAAGTATTCAAACCGAGAGTCAATTGAAGAGATCAACTGCCGCATGCGCCGCATCATCGAGACCGGGGACCCAAGAAAGGGGCTCCGCCCGGGGGAGTATCGACAGACTTGAATCACTTCATTCGAGTAACCCTGTCGATGTTTGATCGAAAAACGAGAGAACTCTAATCTGCTAAGAGCTCGGTACAACAAGTGGCTAAAAAACTCGATGCGGTCCTCGCCCACGCAGGACACTTAGTTTCTTCGTCGGACGGGGATGGTGT